TGGGAATATATATTTCTTAGTTTGCTACTGTGAGAGAAATACAACAAATAAGTTATTTTAAAATACATAAATTCATTTCCCCACCATTTAAGAGACTACAAGTTTTAATTGAGTGTATTCTTCAAGGGAGAAGTCCTTCTTAGCCTGTATTAGACTCAACTAACCTTGGAGTTCCTGGACTTGTAGAATCATCTGTATTTTATGCCATCAAATATCATCTTTCTTCCTCTTTAGACTCACTGCAGAGTTTTTGTTATTGTTGTTGTTGTTGTTATAGTTGTTAGATGCAGTCAATTCACAACAATATGGTGAACAAAGATCTGAACCTTGTCCTGTCCAGTACCATCCTCACCATCTTTGACATAGTAGTGTCCATTGATGCATTCACTGTGTCAATACATCTTGTTGGAGGTCCTCTTGTCCTTCCCTTTCCAAGGACTAGCTTCTCCAAGCAACACGCTCAAAGAAAGAGATGAATCTTTGCCATCCTTGACTTTGAGGAACACTCTGGCTGCATTTTTTTCCAAGATTTATCTGTTCTTTTAGCAGCTCATGTGATATTCAGAACTCTTCTCCAAAACCATAACTCAAAGGCTTCAATGCTTCTTCTACACTTTTTATTCATTGTCCAGGTGCAAAGCAAGTGATTAAAAAGACCACCTCCTGAATCAGAGTTACTTTAGTCTTCAGAATACTGGTATGACTCTTCAATATTTTGGAGATATGCCTAACAGCAGACTTGCCCAATTCAATAGGACTCCTGACCTGACTGCTGGTATGAAAGGTATTGATTATTGATCCAAGAAAGATTAAATCATTGATAGTTTCAAACCTTTCTCCATATATCATGGCCTATGGGCCAAGTGGTGAGGACTTAAATTTTCTTGAGATGTAATTCATACTGAAGCCTCTAGTCCTTGACCTTCTGCAGCAAACACTTCAGGTCCTCCTTACTTTCAACAAACAAGGTTGTATCACCTGTTAAACACAGGTTGCTGATGACATAACGCAGGTTGTTGATGATTCTTGTTCTAATCTTGATGCCACATTCATCTTCATAGTATCCAGCTTCATTAATAACTTGCTCAGCATTCAGACTGAATAAATATGGAGAAAGGATACATCCCTGACACACACCCTTCTTGATTTTAAATAATAGTGTTCCCTTTGCTCCGTTTGTACAACAGCTTATTGGTCTAGGTACAGATTTCACATGAGTAGAGGTAAGTGCTCTGGAATTCCCATTAGTCTCAAGGTTAGTCATAAGTTTGTTGTGATTCACACAGCTGAATGCCTTTGAATAGTCTGTAAAACATATACATTGTTCTGGTAGTCTCTGCTTTCAGCCAGGATCCATCTAACATCAGCAATGATATCTCTGGTGCCATGACCTCTTCTAAATTCAGCTTGAACTTCTGACAATTCTCTGTCAATGTACTCTTCTAATTGGTTTTTCATGATCTTTAGCAATATTTTGCTTGCATGTGATATTAACTATATTGTTTAATAATTTCCACATTCTGTTAGTTCATCTTTCTTAGGGATTGGAAGAAATATGGATCATTTCAGTCACTCAGCTCTGACAACTCTGCTTCAAGTTTCCTATTATACATTGTTTAGAGCTTCCAGGGTTGCATCTGTTTGTTGAAGCATTACATTTGGTACCTCGTCAATTCTAGGACTCTTATTTTTTGCCAGTGCTTTTAGCACCACTTGAACCTCTTTGTTTTCTACCATTGTCTCTTGTTCATTTAGTTGTTGTTGTATGTGCTGGCAGGTCATCTGCGACTCATAGCAACCCTATGAACAACAGCCCTAAACCCTGTTCTATCTCTTGCCAATCTTATTGTCTCCAACACCTCTAGCCCCATTACCCCAGTGACTGAATCAATGCATCTCATTAAGGGCTTTCCTCTCCTGTGCTGTTCCTCTGCCCTCCCAAGCATGATAACCCTCTCCAAGGACTGATTGTGCCTTCTAATGTGTCCAAAATTTTTCAGAATTTTGCTTCAGAATTCTTGCCTCCAAGGAGCACCCTGGATTCGCCCTCTCCAGGATGAAGTTGTCTGTTCTCCTAGTAGGCCATGGTATGTTCAATACCTTCTCTAGCACCAAAGCTCAAAGGCATCAACTCTCTTTCTATTATCCCTAGTCATTGTCCAGCTCTGATGCATAGCAAGTAATTGCAAAGATCAGGCACAACTTAGTCTCCAGAGTGACATCATTGCTCTTCAGTACTTTGGAGAGGCCTCTGACAACAGACTTTCAAATGCAATTTGTCTTTTAATTTCTTGGTTGCTGGTACCAAGAGTGTTGACTGTAGAGTCAGGCAAACTGAAGTTTTCAACAATCTCAATCTCTTCATCTATCATGATGCTGCCAGTCGGCCCAGTGGTGAGAATCTTTGTTTTCTTGATGTTGAGTATCAATCTATATTGAAGTCTGCAGTCCTTTACCTTCTGCAGCAAGCGTTTCAGGTCCTCCTCAGTTTCAGCAAGCAGGGTTGTGTCATCTGCATAACACAGATTGTTGGTGAGTCTACCTCCAATCTAGATGCCACACTTCTCCTCATAGAGCCCAGCCTCCCAGATAATCTGTTCTGCATATACATTGAAATGATATGGAGATAGGACACATCCTTGACTCACACCCTTCCCAATTTTGAACCATGCAGTGTTTCCTTGCTCTGTTCTGACGACTGCCTCCTGGTCCAAGTATAGGATTCACATAAGTATAAACAAGTGTTCTGGGATTCCCATTCTTCTCAAAGTCAGCCTTAGCTTGTTGTGGTCCACACAGTCAAATGCCTTTGCATAATTAATGAAACACATAGACATTCCTCTGGCCCTCTCTGCTGTCAGCCAAGATACATCTAACATTGGCTATAATATCTCTAGTGCCACAGTCTCCTCTAATTCCAGCCTGCACTGCAGGCAATTCTCTGTTGGTGTGCTGTTCCAGTAGTTTTTGGATAATCTTCAGCAGAATCTTACTTGCCTGTGATATCATTGATACTGTTTGATAATTTCCACACTCTGTCAGATCACCTTTCTTTGGAATGGGAACAAATATAGATCTCTTCCAGTAAGTAGGCCAGTTGATTGTCCTACAAATTTCTTGGCACAACTTGGTGAGCACCTCCAAGGGCAGCATCTGTTTGTTGAAATATGACAATTGGTCTGCCATAAATTCCTGGGGCTTTGTTTTTTTGTCTGATTTTTTTTTTTTTTTATGTTGGCCAGTTCTTTTGGTACAGTGATTCTTTATTTTTTTTCTTCTTTCTGCTTCCTGGTCATCCAAGATTTTCCCAGATCATCTCTCAGAATTGCAATTCAAGGCTTGAATTAATTTTGCCATTTTTCAGCTTGAGAAATGCTGAGCAAACTCTTCCCTTTTTATTCTCTGACTCCAGTCTTTACATACTTTGTTAGCATATTTTGCTTTCTCTCCTTAAACTATCTTTTAAAATTCTTTACTCAGTTTTTGTTTGGGCTTTTTGCTGTTGTTGTTGTTTTGTTTTTTTACTTCTACATCTTTTCACTTTG